TGCCTCTGCCTCCCCGAGTGCTGGGATTGCAGGCGTGCACCACTGTGCCCGGCTGCCCACAAATTTCTTACTTTCCTGCCTCCACTTTCAAATGTTGAGATTGTAAGCATTTGCTTCCATGCCTGGCCTTGCTGCATTGTTCAGGCTATTTCTGTGTTAGCTGAGAGTTTTAGAATTATCTGCCCATATTACCATCCCTAGTTCCTTGAGTTGCTTTGAAGGAAAATGTGAATGAGAACGACTTTTAAAACTATCTTTTATTTATTCTTTAATAGTTTCATACACATATGAAATACATCTTGCCAGGCGATGGTGGTGCACCCCTTTAATCCCAGCACTCAAGAGAAGAAGGCGAGTAGATTTCTGAGTTCTAGGCCAGCCAGGTCTACAGAGCAAGTTCCAGGACAGACAGGGCTACACAGAGACACCCTGCTTCGGAAACAAAACAAAAGTTGATTTAGCTATTCTCAACATCTGCGGTGTTTATCAGAGAGCACTGTTGCTATCAGGGTGCCTTTTTCCTTTAGACCCGCTGTGTGTGTGGCTGCCATCTTTAAGAGGTAACTCTTCCTATGTGTTCTTACCTAATCCTGGAGTCAGTTTTCAGCTAACAGGATTTCAAAGCCTGATTTCATGTATTATCTAGTTGTGTCTGTACCCCACCCAATGAAGATTAAACCTAGCAAATGGATGTTCTTGTCAGTGATTTTTTCTTTTCTTTTTTTTAAATTGTTTTTGTCATTTCTTTTTTAAATATTTTATTTATTTATTTATTTATTTATTTATTCTCTCTCTCGTGATATCTATCTATTTATATCTATATCATGAGTGGTGCTTTATCTGCATGTACGCCCGCATGCCAGAAGACGACACTAGAGGGTATAGATGGTTATGAGCCACCATGTGGTTGCTGGGAATTGAACTCAGGACCTCTGGAAGAGCAGACAATGCTCTTAACCACTGAGCCATCTCTCCAGCCCCAGTGATTTTTTTTCTTAACTGTTTGCTTTTGCAGTTTGTCCTCAGGAGATGGGTAAAAAGTTTATAAGTCATGGGCTAGAGCTATAGTTCAATCATAGTGCTTGGCCAACATGCACAAGGCCCTGCTTCAGTCACCACACAAACACACACACACTCACACACTCTTACACTCACATATACACTGAAATGTGTATATATGAAATTCACTTGGGGATCTGTTGGGAAAAATGACATAATTAAGGAGTTATTGATTATTTTAATACAAGTACTAAGTAGGGGCTTGCAGAATTGGGCAGAAAGTTTTTATTTGGCTCTAAATTAGTAGTAATTGCCAAAAAGTATCAACCTTTTCCTCCCTGTTATGAAAATGACAAAAGAAATGTTTTCTAAATGACTAGTGAACAGTTTCCCCTGAGAGGAGAAGAAATAGCTGTTTGGCAGCTAATTACCTGTTATGTTAGACAGCTATGAAAGTTATGAGGCTCCTCAGGCTGGAACTCGTGATAGAAGTCTCGATAGACCAGCACAAAAGCACCTGCCAGAGACTTGGCCAAATCTGGATCATTCCTCAGTTAGAAAGCTCATAGTTCTTGACCTGTTTATTATGCTCTGTCAGTGACCCTTAACTTAGCATCTTTACTAAACTGGATGTGACATTAGAACTTATTAGTGTTCATTTCCCTTGTTAATTCATTCTCACTGAGCCTGCTGCATTTTCATCTTTGTAAATCTCAGACTAAAGATACAAACCTTTTTTTGTTGTTGTTTGTTTTCCCCTTCACCATGCTGGGCACTGAACCAGGGGTATTGCATATGCTAAGTGATCACCTTTGAGCTATATCTCTAACTTTTATTTTATTTTATTTTGACACAGTAAGTTGTCCGGGCTCTCTTTGAACTCTCTCTATAGCTCAGGTTGTGATTTCCTGACACAACCTTCCCAGTAGGTGGGATTAGAGGCCCACACAACCAGGGCCAACTAAACACCCCTCGGTGTGTAATGTGGTCCTTAGTGTCCTTAGTGTCCAGATCTCAAGGGCAAGGATTATGTTCTGGGGAGCTAGGAGGCTCATCCAAAGCAGACTTCTCTTTATGTAATGAAGTACAGTAATCTCTCTTTAAGGGATAGGCCTCCTTCTGTGTGCTGCTCTGTTCCTTATTTCTGTTTCTTATGAACACTCTGAAGTTCAGTGGAAGTGGTGGTAAAGGGCCCATGATCCCAGCTATCAGTGAGGCGCCAGTGCTATTTAGCAAATACTCATTGATTACCTAATGTATGTTGTGTCTGATCCTGGCAGAGGGAGGAGCAGAGGACATTTGGTATCTTCTTCTCATTCTTCTCATTTTCTGAGACAGAATCTCCTTCTGAACTTGAAGCTTTCCATACTCAAGCCTCGTTTGTTTCACAGCCACGGAGCCATCGCTCAGGCCCCGGGGGAGGGGAGGTGATGGGTGGGTATGGAAAATGTCTGCCTTTTGAAGTTTTCATCTGAGTAAAGGGAAACACAAAATATAAATAATGTATACATTACCAGACCGTGGTAAGTATTATGGGAAAAGATAAAGTAGGAAAGAGGTTCAAATTTATAAATTTGAACCTAAATTATAGGGAAATTGGTGCTGTGATTTCATTTTGTTTTAATTATTTATTTTTGTTGGTGCTGGTTATTGAACCGGAGCCTTGCGTGCATACTTCCCAAGCACTTAGCCATTGGTTTTTAAATAGTGGGGTAAGGAGAGTTATCTGTAGAATTCTCATTTGAACAAAGTCCTGAAGGAAGAACAAGACAAAGATGTGATGGGGCTTTAAAATGTTCTAGGAAGCCAGGCACGGCAGCACACTTAACTTCTGACACTATGGGCCACTACCTCCTTGTAGGGTTATGAAAGTGAATGTGGGGTGCAGAGAAATTTAGTAATAGTAAAAGGTTTCTGAACCTGCCAATACCAAAAAGTAATTTAAAATCAAATGAATATAGCTGTTCCTGGCAGGCTTTGTCCGTGCTATATTACCTATGTTCACCAGGGCCTTGGTACACAGTTTGCATTGTGCTTGTCACACGACACAGGGTTGAGCAACGCTACCTGAATCTTCTCGACTCACACTCCAGGCTGTTCTCTTCTGAATGGCAGTGTTTTTTCTAACATACAAAGCTTTAATTATGGAAAAGAAAAAAAAAAAAAAAACCAAAAACCTTTGTTTTCCTACCTTAGCACATAAATATCAACTTAGTGTATATTTGGATTAGAGTGTTAAAATGTTGACTCTATTGCTTGTTTGAGTTGCTGTCTTGAGTTCATAGAACATTAGAGAAAAAAAATTTTAATTTATATATATATATATATATATATATATATATATATGTGTGTGTGTGTGTGTGTGTGTGTTTATGTCATGTATGTGCAGGTGCCAACAGTGGCCAGAAGAGGCACATCAGATCCTCTGGGGCTCAAGTTATAGTCAGTTGAGCTGCCTGATGTAGGTGCTGGGAACTGAATTCTAGTCCTCTGAAAGAGCAGGAAGTATTCTTAACCCTATACCAAGCTCTCCAGCCCCTAACCTTAATTTTTAATCTTTATATTTAGTGTGATAAACCTTATATAAGATAGACTTTTTCAAGGCTGGAGAGATGGCTCAGAGGTTAAGAACACTGGTTGTTCTTCCCGAGGTCCTGTGTTCAATTCCCAGCAACCATATGGTAGCTCAAAACCATCATAGTGAGATATGGTCCCTCTTCTGGTGTGCAGGCAGAACATTGTATAAATAATAAATAAATAAATCTTTTTAAAAAAGATAGACTTTTTTGTTGTAAGCATATTTATGTGTTATAGTTCAGTGACAATAAGTATATTCATAGTGGTGTATAGTCACTATCACTGTCCAGCTCTAGAACGTTTCCATTATTCTAACCACAGACCTGCACCTATTCCTTCTCCTCCTCAGTCTCTAGGAAAATCTCTATTTTTTTTTTTTTTTTTTTTTTTGACAGGCTCTCACTATGTAGCTCTGGCTATCCTGGAGCTCACTCTGTAGACCAGGCTGGCCTCAAACTCACAGAAATCCACCTGCCTCTGCCTCCCAAGTATTGGGATAAACTATGCCCAGGAGCCATGGAGGTCAAAGAGGGTGCTGGTTGGATACCCTGGAACTGGAGTTACAGGCAGTTGTGGCTGCCTTACGGGTTTGGCTAGGAGCCAAACTTGGATCCTATGTCTGGCTCCTTCACCTTCACCTTTCCCTTTTTCTTCCCATTCCTTTATGTTCCTTTCCCTTCTTCTTTCTTATTCCCCTTCCCTTCTCCTTTACTTTCTTGCTTCCGTCCTTCCTTCCTTAATATGTGTGCTCCCATATGTACAAGCATGTAGGTCATGGCATATGGATAGAGGGTTTTAGAAAGCATCTCTCTTTTTTTTTTTTTTTTAAGATTTATTTATTTATCATGTATACAGTGTTCTGCCAACACCCCAGAAGAGGGCACCAGATCTCATTATAGATGGTTGTGAGCCACCATGTAGTTGCTGGGAATTGAACTCAGGACTTTTGGAAGAGCAGCCAGTGCTCTTAACCTCTAAGCCATTTCTCTAGCCCTAGAAAGCATCTTTGTAGAGGTCAAAGGGCATCTGGTATCTTTGCTACCCCCCCCCCCTTTTTGTGACAGCCCATACCCTGGAATTCTCTATGTAAACTAGGTAGGCCTAGAACTCTGCTTTTAAGTGCTGGGATTAAAGGCCTGCACTGCCGCACCAGCTTCTTCTACCTTTATGTGAGTTTGCTTGGTAGGTGCCTTTACCTCTTAGCCATCTGAGTGGCTCCTATTTTACTTTCAATCTGTGTGAATTTGCCTATTCTAAGTACCTTATTTAAGTAGAACATGCAGTCCTGTTCTTGCCTGCTGAGCACAGTCCTGTTCTGTGAGCTGGAGAGCATTGTCATCAGGATTGAGGTAGTATGGGCTGTTCCTTGATCTCTTTAAAATGATAGCTTTGTCCCAACTAGCCTGAATTTTTTTATCTTTCAGTTCCCCGACATCAGTCAAGAATCCGATTCTCCATTTGTTTTCATCTGCAAAAATCCCCAGGAAATGGTTGTTAAGTTTCCTGTTAAAGGAAACCCTAAAATCTGTAAGTTACCATCTTTGATAATCTTAGTTTCTCTTGCATCTTATTTGTCTAAATTTGAAAAAAAAATATTTTTCTGTGTTTAGTATCATCCTTAGTGTTGTAAGATAATTATGTTTATAGTAAAATTAGTGTCATATTCATTATACTATAGCTTTTTCAGAGAGTACTGTGGTATACAATTATTTGCATGATAGCAGAGCAGATTTCTCTAAACTTTTCATTTCATCACATTAAATGTTGTTTAGCAGTGAATAAACATGCTGCTGCAAGTCAATAACATCAGCATTTGGAAAACTGAGGCAGAAAGATTACAGGTTTGAAGATAGCCTATACTATATAATGAAACTCTGTCTCAAAAAAATCCTACAAAATATTGCTGATTGTTAGCTGGTGTGGTAGTGCATGTCAGTAATCCCAACAGTAGGGAGGGTAGAAGCCTAAGGGTAGAGATTTCCAAGACAGCCTGTGCTGCTACAATGAAACCTTGCCAATAAATAAATAAATAAATGAGTAAACATAAATCAAACATACACACACACATATATCCTGAGGTTCATTAGCTCCTGTCTCAAATTTGTTATTTATTTTTTTAAGATTTATTTTTATTTTATGTGCATTGGTGGTTTGCCTGAATGTGTGTGTGTGTATGTGTGTGTGATGGTGTTGGATCCCCTGGAGCTGGTATTATGGATAGTTGCGAGCTGCCGTATGGGTGCTGGTAATTGAACCAGGGTCCTCTGGAAGAGCAGCCAATGCTCTTAACCACTGAGCCAGCTCTCTATCCCCAAATTTTAAAGTATTACTTCATTATGTCTTATAAAATACGTGAAAATCTCTATGAGAGTTATAGGAATCATGACAAATACCTTTCCCCTTCTAACTTCCTGCTCATTTGTTGCAAATGAATTGATAAGTTTTGTTTTGAGACAAGAATCTCACTGTATAGCCCAGCCTGGCATAGAATTCATAGCAATTCTCCTGCCTCACTTTCTTTTTTTAAAAAATTTATTTATTTATTTATTCCAATTTATTCATTTTGTATCCTAGCTGTAGCCCCCTCCCTCTTCCCCTCCCAATCCCACCCTCCCTCCCTTTCCTCCACTCATGCCCCTCCCCCAGTCCACTGATAGGGGGCATCCTCCTCCCCTTCCCTCTGACCCTAGCCTGTCAGGTCTCTGTTGAAATTATAGATTTATACCTTTCCACTTAGTGATTTTATTCTTTTAGACTCTGTAATAGAGAATGTGGTTAAGCACTGAAATGCTTTGGATATTAACTGTAAAACTATCAGAGAAACACAGAAACATTATTACTACTCTGTGAAAAGAATATTATATGCTAACTGTATTAGCCCCAAGTCTTTGTGACAGTCGTGTTGCCCAGGTTGGCATTAAACTCACTAGGTAGATGAGGATAACTTTGAATTCCAACCCTCTACCTCCAAAATGCTAAGACTATAAAGGTGTTAGGACCAATGAAATAATGATGAGCACAGATTTTATATGAAAAAGGTTTATGGGATGGAGATGCGGAGAGAGAGAAGAGAGAGCAAGATATGATGGGGGAAGGGAGGGGCCACCCCAACAGAGAAAGGTGAGAGAGCAGGAGAGCTAGAGAGTAAGAGGGCAAGGCAGTGACAAAGTGGTGGGATGATCCTTTTAAGGAGCAGCTTAACCACGCCTGCCAGGTGTGGCTACCTGGTGGGTGATACATGATGACATCATAGGTTGCTAGGCAACCCAGAAGCAGGCTGCCTAAATCCTAACAATAGGTGTGTACCATAATGCCCAAGTTAGAATCCACATCTTAGAAAGACTAGGCTCCAGGCTCAGCTGGTAAGGTGCTCACTCACTGACAGGCCTCAAAGCCCAACTTTGATCTCCATTTGGTGGAAGGAAAGAATTGAGTCCTACAAGGTGTCCCCTGACTACATGTGCATAGTGTTACAGGGGCCTGCGTTCCTAAATACACACACAATGCACATACATACATACAAACATACATACATACATACATACATATGTATATACATACAAACAATGTAAAGTAAAAGATGAAGCTTAAAGAAGCCATACTGTCTGCCTCTTCCTGTAAGAAAAAGTTTCTTCAAGGAACTTCCCAGAGACTCATACTCCAACCAAGGACTATTCGTGGAGATAACCCAGAACTCCTGCACAGATGTAGCCCATGGCAGTTCAGTGTCCAAGTGGGTTACATAGTAATGGGAAGAGGGACTGCCTCTGACATAATCTGATTGGCCTGCTCTTTGGTCACCTCCCCCTGAGGGGGGAGCAGCCTTACCAGGCCACGGTAGAGGACAATGCAGCCAATTTTGATGAGAACTGATAGACTAAGATCAGAAAGGAAAGGAGAACCTCTCCTATCAGTGGACTTGGGGAGTGGCATGCATGCAGAAAGGGGAGGGAGGGTGGGGTCGGGAGGGGAGGAGGGAGGGGCTTATGGGGGGATACAAAATGAATAAAGTGTAATTAATAAAAAAAAAAAGTTTCTTGTTTTATCAACGCTGTTGGCTTAAGAGTTGCTGTTCCTAATAGTCACTTGGTTAGATGAAAAGGTATGATTGAAATATGATATGATATTTATCATATGAAACACAGATATGAAAAAGTCCTGGATTGTTAAAGAGTTCACAGATTGCTGACCCTAGCCTGGCTTTCTCTAATTGCTCCCAAGTGCTGGGATCAAAGGCTTGTGACACCATGCCTGGCTGAAGTAAGAGCTTTTGCAGAGGACAGAGGTTCCATTTCCAGCACCGTATGATGGCTCAAAGCTGTCTGTAACTCTAGTTCCAGGGGATCTGACTCTTCTGGACGTTGTGGGCATGAGGCACACATTGGTGCACATACATACATACAGGCAAAACAGTCACATAAGATAAAAGTAGATCTTAAATAATAAAAATGAGTCACAAAGCATTTACATTGTATTAAGTATGTCAGTCTATAGAGATTTACATTATACAGGAGGATGTAGAATGTATACAAGCCTCATAGTATTTCATGTCAGGGACTCACATAACATCTATGGAGTTTGATATTTGTGAGGATCCTAGAGCCAAAACACCACAAATACAGAGAAAACTTTATCCTAATCAGTCAATTAAATAACAGGGGTCCCTCCTTTTGATTTTACAGTTGAATAATCAGGGTTAGGGACGCTGAAGGTTTAGGGTTTTTTTTATTGTTTTTTTTATAATTTTTATTTTTTAAATTAATTACAGGTTATTTACTTTGTATCCCAGCTGTAGCCCCTCCCCCATTCCCTCCCAACCTTACCCTCCCTCCTTCATCTCCTCCCTGCCCCTCTCTAAGCCCACTTAGACGTAGCCCATGGCAGCTCAGCATCCAAGTGGGTTCCCTAGTAAGGGGAACAGGGGCTGTCTCTGACATGAACTCAGTGGCGGGCTCTTTGACCTTCCCCCCCCCCCCCCCGAAGGAGGAGCAGCCTTGCTAGGCCACAGAGGAGGACATTGCAGCCAGTCCTGATGAGACCTGATAAGCCAGGTTTTTAATTAATTAATTATAAGCCTGCAGCACCCGGTATTCTCAGGCAGGCTCCCATCCTGACCCTGCTTAGCTTCCAAGATCAGACTAGATTAGACGAGTTCAGGGTGTTATGACTGTTTGGGCTTTCTGAGATATGGTGTCTAGAGTCTTATTGTGTAGTCTAGGTTGACCTCAGATGCATTGTGTAACCTAGATTGACCTTGAACTCAAGATTCCACCTGCCTCACTTTCTGGAGAGTTAGAATTGTAGGTGTGAACACAACCAGCTCAAAAATTGTGTTTTACTCATCTTTCTGGCTGCTTTTCTGTTCCTTTTACTTTATACAATTCTTCAGGACACTACTATTATGTTACTGAAAAAGGTCTTTAGTAGTGTGTAGTCCATTTTCTTCTTTTAGTTGAAAAGTAATTAAATGAGGGTAGAAATGACTAGGTGACATCCTCATTGTTACACTGCTAGAGGAAATCTGAGGAACAAACCTAAGCAATGAGTCTTCAAAACCATGGCAATACTGAGAACTAGGTATCTGGAGTCTTCAGCAGATTTCAAGTGCTTGCATAGTTTATCCTAAAAGCTGGAAGAGGACTTTATACTTCCTCAGTACCGCCACCTTTTATCTGCTGCTTTGTGTTACTTAGTAGACTCTGTTATATTGGGGATTTTAAATTTGTATTATTTGCCTGTCTTTTGTTTGTTTGTGTGTTTGTGCTTGTTTGTTTTGTTGTTTTGAAACAAGGTCTCATATGATCTGGGTTGGCTTTTAATTCACTGTAGAGGTGAGTCTGGCTTTGAAGTGGCCTGTCAGTTTCCACCTCCTGTTAAATTTATTTGATGGAAGTGTTTATTGACTACCTACCAATTGACAGTCACTTCAGTGCTGTGAGGGAGACAAAAGAAAATTTGTCTTGATATAGGGCTCTTTGCCAGCTTTCTGTCACATTCACATTCCCAGCTAAGCAGCCTATGGGATGAAAGAACTCGGAAATCATTGGGAATGCCCACATTCTAAAGCCCAGATTAAAATCAGCGGTGTTGTGACCATTATGGACAGCATTTTGGTAGCACAGAAAGAGGTGTACTGCTGTGTTAGAAGCAGGTGCAGCCCTAAAAAGCTAGGGAAAGAGGCATAAAGGAAACTTGTAGGGCTGGGGCTGTTTCTCTCCCAGTCTCCTTGTGCAGTACAGAATATGCATTCTTATCTTAATTGGACAAATGAGGCTATTGAGATCCAGAAAGGCTGAATGACTTGTCTAGTTCATACAGGTATTAACTAGCTTCTAGTGAGTGTTCTGTCACATCGGATTGCTCAACAAATGAAAAGAAAAACATCTGAGTGGCCGTGTTTCTGGGTGTGTGCTCACAGTATACCAGGCTGCCCTGTACCCAGGATCCTTTATTTTATATTTTTATCCTTCTCCTCCTCCTCCTCCTCCTCCTCCTCATCATCATCATCATCACTGTTGACTTAAATGAGGCTTTTTGTGGGAGAACAGAAATTTGCAAGTTTTTTTCTCAGACCAGACAAACAGGAACTCTAAAACTTTTCTTCATAAAATAGAATGCTTTTCAAGGCTGCTAGCACTGAACTAAGCTGCATCCTGGTAGATCAAGGAGTCAGTTTAATGATCACATCATTGAAAGATTGTTCATTTGCATCACTTGAGACACAAAAGGGCTTTGTTTTGTTTATTTGAAGCAGAGGCATGCTATGTATAGCTCTGACTGGCCAAGAACTTGCTATAAATAGACCAGCCTGCTCTCAAATATACAGGATCCTCCTGCCTCGGCCCCCAGAGTAGAACTTACAGCATAAACCATGACAGCAGGCTGAGGTTGCTTGTTTTCTAAGTTTAACACTTAGAAGAGCCATATAATCTATGACTTTTACTCTCCCGTAGCTGGTGATAGGGACCCTTTGTCAGGGAAACATTTATGTGAGTTTTCCACTGTTTCAGGTCATTTCCTCTATTAAGTTTGGGGCAGCAAAAGGGTGAACTGCTTTTTCCACTGTGAGTGAGATTCATGCTTTGTACTTAGCTAGTTAACAGGTCAGCGGAATGGGTTTGTGAAGTGCATTTCTTTCTGGCGTGTCTCTCTTCTTCTACCTCCTCTTCCTCCTCCTCCTCCTCTTCTTCTTTTGTTTTCTTCTGTTTATCTACATGTCTGTATTCTTTAGAAAATTTTATCTTAGTATCAGATACATAAACTACAAAATGAGAAATATTAGCTACTTCAATTCTTCAGATAAATATTCGTGTGTGTGTGTGTGTGCGTGTGTGTGTGTGTGTGTGTGTGTGTGTGTGTGTCTACAGTATTCCCACAAATTTCTTCTTAGAAAATAATAAAACTGAAGTTTGGAAGTGTCCAGCCTCCTGAAGCAAGATAATTAAATGTGACAGGAACACAGTAACCAGAAGACCTAGGAGGCCAGGAAAGATTTGCAATGCAAATATAAAAATAAATAATGAGTGAGACTTCTTTTTTCTCTTACAGGGAAACTGGATTCCAAGATCCATCAAGGAGCAAAGAAGGGGTTAATGAAGCAGAATAAAGCTGTCTGACCCAGGAAAAAAGGAGCTATACAACATAGTGGAGTCTTGTGTACTAAATTGCTACCCACTGGTCCTTTGGGATTAAAGGCTTGGCACCAGGCTTCAATCTCTGAGAATTTAAACTCTTACCAAACCTGTATATTTTCTTAAAGGGTAGGATTCTTTATGTAGTGGTTCAAAAATCTTTGAATACATTATTTATAAAAACTCATTTTAAAAATTCTAGGTCTTTGACATTTTTCTCAGAACCAAATTCAAAACAGAAAGGAACAGAATGGAAATTATTTTTCTCTATGAGATTTGTTATTTGTAGTTAGGAAAATCTTAATAATTTCACAAGAGACTTTTTTGGGGGGGTGTTCAAGACAGAGTTTCTATGTGTAGCCTTGGCTGTCCTACACTCACTCTGTAGACCAGGTTGGCCTTGAACTTGTAGAGATCCAGTTGCCTCTGCTTCCTGAGTGCTGGGATTAAATGTGTGCTCCACCACTGCCCGGCTTACAAGAGACTTTTTAGATTTAAAATTTTTCTCAAAATAATAGAATAGAGAATAGTAGCTACCCGAAGAATCTTCTGTTTAATATAAGCCTGTGAAGAAGTGAAAATGTTCTTACCAAATGTTCTGCTTTTGACATTTTGGAGCCAGGTCTCATAGTGTGACCCAGGCTTGCCTGGGACTTAAACAGTCCCGCCTAAGCCTCTCAAGAACCCTGTTCAAAAACTTAAACCAGCTTCTAACCCATCTACCCTCAGAGTGAAAAGCCAGAATTACCATTACTAGTAGATGATGATGATGATGATGATGATGATGATGATGATGATGATTATTTGGAAAAGATAACATGAAGACATACTTTTATTTGTTCTTTAGTTTGAGAAAATGGATTAGATTGGGAGATGAGGGAGCCACCTGCTAAAGAGCCTGAAGCTGTCTTGGTGTTGCAAAAGTAGCATGTAGATGGGACAATTAGAGAAAAACTAAAAAATACAATCCTCTCAGAAAAGACATAAAATAAAAATAAAACAAACAAACAAAAAACAGCAAAAACCCTCTAATGCTAAAAGTAAGTCTTTTTAAACTATCAATATACTAAAAAGCTATGACTGGAAAAATAAGGGCTGGTTTCAAGTGAGATTTTTTTTTCCACTGGTCCCTTTAGCCCTTTTCAGGAAGTGCTTGTTTCTGGCTCTTAGGAAGTGTTGTTGGAGTCTTAGTTGCTGGATCCTAGGAAATTCATGGTCTTAAGTGTGCATGTTCTGCTTCTTATAAAACACTACTGCCACACTGAGGGTGTTGGGCTCCCTCCAGCGTTTTGTATGCTTGACTTAAAAGAAGAAAGTGCAAGTGAGAAGGAAAAAAAAGTACCTTGTGTTATGAAAAAGATTAATTTCCCTTCCTTTAATCCTTCATATGCAGCATTTATTTGCATTGAAATGCCTCCACTCATTACACATTGATGCTCGCTGGACTGTGAGCTCTGCTGGCTGCATAGCATTGGTTCTATGCAGCCTGATCCCTCTGGATTCCTAGGGAAACCAACAGATTCTTGTTCCATTGATAGACACATGCAGTATTTCTCTCTTGTTCTGTTCGACCTCTGTATAGAAAGTGGAAAAGGACAGTTAATGCATTTATTAAGGTGGAAGGTGTCTTTTTAGTCTCTTGGAAACCCTACCATTATTGAAGGCATTACTGTGTTCACTATGCAGTTAAAAAGTTAATAGTTTACCCAGGAGGAGCACCTTGAATTCTGTCCTGAAGTTTTCTGACTCTCTTAATATAAAAATAAAGGTATGACGGGAGGATACAAGGGAGAGAGACACACACACAGAGAGGTTTCTCTCTTTTATTTAAATACACTTCATACAGAGAGTGTGGATTGCTTTTTCTATGTGGTTAATTTGTGTGCACACCTTAAAAGAAAAAAAAAATCAGGAGCTTCAACAGATCATCACCCTGTGCAAGTTTACAAGAACCCACCTTAGCTTCTAAAATACGCAGCCAGAACCACATAAATAAATGGCAGAGCTACTGGGAACTTCTCCTCATGGTTAGGCTGGGACAGTCTGCCTTTGCTTCACATGATAGCGGTCTCTCTTCCGTTTTCCCGAGACATCAGGGAGGAAGTGTGGGAGAAGCTGCTGGGTAGATGGCCTTCAGTTGCTCACTGATGAATAGTGTAATTTAAAGTTGGATGGAAAGTCTTAGTCGTCTGAGTGTAAACTTGTCCGAGAATAGCCTATTGGTGCTTTATGACACTTCACTATGACCCTTTGACTCTGGGCAGTTTGGCCAAAGAAAGTTTTGAGTTTCTGAGTTGCTTCTCTGTTTCGGCTTCTGTGTTCCTCTTTGAGTGAATTCAATTGCTATACTAAAGGAATCGGCTTTTTAATTCCTGTTTTTCCAGACAGGACTCAGTTTCCTTTATATGAGCTTACAATAGGGTATTCTGAAATTGGGGACTTTATCAGAGTTGATTGGGCCTTATCTTTAGTGAGCTATTTGGCATAGATTAAGAATTTGGCCAGATGTGGTATACACCTTTAGTCCCAGCACTCAAGAGGCTGAGGCAGGTGGGTCTCTTTGAGTTCGAGAACAGACAGGGCTACATAATGAGCTCCTGTCACACAGGAAAAAAGAAAACGAATTTGTTTCTTGTTTGTTTTTGTTCTTTAGCTATTATATAGAAAGAACTAAGTGTCCTGTCTTTACTTTTTAAACTGAAATTTTATTGGAAACCCATTTTTGCCCCCCTAGCATGTAGATTACTTTTACAAATAATTATAGTTATGGCTTCTATGAGTTATGACACTTTATCTATTTTAATTACTGTCTCACAGCCCATTCCTGTGGTCATTTAATTTAGTAAATTTGTTTAATGCCTTGGAGAGCCTAGCCAAGATTAGAGGGCATAGGGCTGTTCACCTGGCCAGCACATCCACTGAACTACAGAAATCGGCTAACTTCAGTTTGGTAGGCTGGGGAGAGGGAAGACAGTCCAGTGATAAAGGATAGTTTTTATTATTGAGATTGAAATAGCAAGCACACATCTGCTGTTCTCAGCTTCTGTGAGTGTGTTTGGGAGGAGGCAATCCACATCGCAGGCTGCAGCTGCAGCAGCAACAAGGAAGAACGTTTCTACTCTCCCTTGCAGAGAGAAAAAGCATAGCCACAGTGCCATCCTTTGCCACAAAGAACTTGTATAAATGTCCATTTATGTGTATGAATACAATGTGGCTTCCCTCAGGAGGTGAAATATAAACAGATCAGATATTAATTTCAGTTGTGAAGATGGTATAACCCAGAAAGAAATCCCAGTGAAAAATATCCTAGATTGGAGTCAGGAAAAAGAAAAGGGGGTGGGGGTGGAGGAGTGGTTGCCAAAACCCATAGAGAGATGTCAGGAAGGATGTTGGCATGAGGAGGAAAGTACATCAATGCCTAAGACTTAAGAAGGGTCTAATCAGGCATAGTGGTGCAGGTCTTTACTGCCAGCACTGGGGAGGCAGAAACAGGTGGATCTCTAGATATCTAGGGCTGTGCTGTGTAATATGGTTGCCACTGGCCACATGGCTGTTTAAATTTGAATTAAATTTTAAGTAAAGACCCATTTCTTCAGTCACTGTACCTTCAGTGCCCAAATAGCCCACATGTGGCTAGTGACTTCTGAACTGAACAGCAGGGGGCAGGGGTTAGCAAAGTCATTCCATAAAGGGTCAGTTAGCAAATGCCTTCTGTTTTATAAACTATTCAGCCATGCTGTTGTACTGCAAATATACCCTTAGATAACATGACTGAGCTTGGCGACAGCCAGCAAATTTATTTATTTATTTATTTATTTAGGTTTGACGAACTATTGTGACGGTCTCTCTGTTGTAGCCCCGTTCAAGCCCAGGCCTACCTTTGAACTTTAGATCTCCAGCCTCAAGCTTCCAACTGCTGGAATTTGTAACACCACACCAGATTCATAATTTTTATATTGTAAAATATATTTAAAATATTGTAAAAAATACTTAATTTTTATTTTATTTTATTTACTATATTAAGGATTTACCAGAAAAGTTAGTGGTAAATGATTTGTTCTATAGGCCATAGTTTACCAATACTTGCTCTGGATAGAAGTCAAAATTTAAAGACTCCCTCACTGTCTAATGCATCACATCCTTTTAGTTTTTTTTAGTACCTCTTCCTGGCTTGAGAACTTGCTCTGACTAAAAGATAAGTAGGACTGTTTCCTTTCTCCACTTCTGTTTTAGTCTAGTTCTACATTGTTTAACGCTTAATCAAATTACAGAAATGTAGAACACTAAACCCTGCTTTATCTCCGTCTGATAAGTAAACGCTCATTTTGTAATATCGTATAGATTGGAAGGTCTGCTGTCACCCTGTCAGTTCTGTCCCTTTACTGTTCAGGAACAATTAAAATTATCTATGGACCAAAAGGAAATTATTTTTTTCTAGACTAGACAGGGTTAGTGTTCATCTTTAAGTTGTCAGCCTTCCCACCCTCCTTTTCTTTTTGTGGAAATAGAGATGGAGAGTAAGAGACTTTTTGACTCACTCGATCTCTAAGTCACATGCTATTTTGAGTGGCACCATTGAAGGGCACCTTAGAATAAGAAGAAAGGTAATCGCACAGCTGAATAAAATGGCCAAGGACACTGGAAGGGCATGATGGAAATTCTTGAGAATTAAGATAAACTTTGATTTGCCATGGCAGGAGGTGGAAGTCTTAGGTCATGAAGCTGTTCCTTAAGCAACTGGTGGGAGGGCTCCATTACCCATGGACAAAATGTCTACTGTGTAGGATATAGTGTGACGGGCAATCTAAGATGGTAACAGATAAAAAGTGTTGAATGGGGGGTGCGGGGCAGAAAAGGACTCAAGGTAAAAAGCAGTAAGATTTAGTGATACTGGATGGTGAGGTGGAAAGGGACACAGAAGGATTTAGAAATGGGTACTATGTAGAGGAAAAATGATAATCAAAGGGTATTAAAAAAAAAAACAAGAAAATGATAAAAAAAAAAAAAATGAGTTTGCAAGCCAGTGAGATGGCTCAGTAGGTAAAGGTGTATGCTCCCAAGCCTAACGACCTAGAAGTTTGATCCCTGACACCAAATGGTGGAAGGAAAGAAGCGACTCCTGCAAATTGTTGGCTGACCTGCATACGTGCGCCACGACACGTTCCCCCACATTTTTTTTCCTTAAGTTTGCCGAACTAAGCGGCAAAATGGATGAGCCCACCAAGAGCTGCGTACTTGTCTTCTGTTCTCTGTAGATTTCATGTTCAGACCCCATGGTCTTTCCTCTTTTCACGGTTGAAGAACTTCTGTATTTAAGGGCTAAAGCTTCTCCAGAAACTTCTCTAAGAAGTCTGATCCAGCCAGAGTTCTTTGCACGAGGAGAGAGCGCCGGGTTCCAGCTGTCCGGCCCGGGCTTCAGAGCTTATCTTAGCTTCAACCCGCCCGCCAGGTTTTCCAGCATTCTCTCCTCAGGACTCGCAGCAACCGCGCGTTTAGAGACCCAGGACTTGGCTCGCACATCCAGGTTCCGGGTTTCCTCGTGCACTCGCCCGCTCCAGACTCCACAGCGCAGGGAATCCGGATCCGAGAGCACGAGGGTCCGGTGTCCGGGCCTTCCAGGCTGCCCTGGTTGTCCCGGATCGCGGCGGCGGTGGCGGCGGTGGCGGCGGCGGCGGCGGCGGCGGCGGCAGCTGAGGGACCCGCGGCCCCGGACACAGCGGCCCGGCCAGGCGGGGCGGAGCGGCGCTGGGAGGGGCGGAGAGCCGGGGCGGGGAGGGGGAGGGGCCGCGGCCCGGATGGCGGCCCGGGACGCGTAGCAGTGGCGGCTCTGCGGCCCGGGGCCCCGGGCGGGCGGAGGTGGCGGCTCCCGGGACCGGCCGCGCGGTGAGTCCTAAGCTTTGTGTGGAGCCGGGGCTGGGCGGGGGGCCGGCGGCGCTGCGGGAGGCCCGGCGGCGGGGGGCGCCGGGGCAGCGGCGCCGGGCGGAGGAAGTGGGGGTTGGGGGGGGCGGGGGGGGGGGGGGGGGAGGGGGGGGGGGGGGGAGGCGGGGTCGTTGCGTGGGTGGGGGAGGGGGCTGGAGGTGAAGTTCAAAGCGTGGCCGGGGCGGTTCGGGGTGAGGGCGGCGGTGCCCGGGGTAGCCTCTGGGCTGGCCAGGTGGTATGGGCAGGCCACAGAGTTTTCTAAGGCTCTGCTGAGGGCCCCCGGGCGACCGGGGCTCGACAGGGACTCAGGGGAGCGGAGGGCTGAAAGCAGGACGTGTGCGCGGACCGGGAAGAGGAGCAAGGTGGCTGGGGCGTGCAGTCAGTAGGTTGTGGGTGTGTGCCCCTTGCCAGTCTTAGGTCACATTTACTCTTGTCCTTTTCTTCAAGATGGAGGGATCCCTGGGCCTGGACTTTAAACTGCTATCCCTGTACCCCCCGGGGGGTGGTTGAGACCCTGTCCTGTTTGGAAAACCCGTGCTGCCCTCTTTTTCCCTTTATGTGTAATTACGGTTGGATCATCTCTGTGCTTTGCTCAGATTCTCCTTCCTCCCTCTGGGGTTGAGGAGGAGGAGACACATCTGACCAATTAATGTGTGTTTGTGAAACAGGCAGCGGCAAACAGTCATTTCAGCTTCTAGGAATTAGGCTCTCACAGGGTGGAGAGAGCAGAGCCCTTCGGGGGAATATTTCTGAACAAATCACAGATGATTAAATTCTCTCAGAAACCGCTTCCTACCTAAATGAGAGTGGGAAAGATGGGGGAGAAAGCCTGTCTGTTTCCAGCCATGTGTCCAGAGCCCCAGGGGTTGAGGAGAGTCCCTAAGCCCCCACAGGCCTCTCTTTTCTGCATTAGGCTTTGCTCTGCAGCCTTGAGTGAATTTCACCCCTGCTGCTTTGTCTTGGGGGAGGGAGTGCTGGTTTAGGCTAGTGTGGGAGATGACTGTGCTGCCACACAATAGTCGTGTCATTTTATCGGGAGTGCTACCCAGGGCTGAGAACTGTTGCCGCAGAGATAAACCGGTCGGTCCCTCTCACCCGCCTATTGTGTACACAGTGAAGGTCATAGGTTCAAGTCTTGTCTGAGAGCTTTGGATATGCTCCATCTCCCAGGCTCCTCAGTGCCATTTTCTTCCTTTTCCAGACTGGGGCTTGCCATTGGAGGAGGCCAGACAGAAAGGCTCTTCTTTTTGAGTGAGGAACAATGCAGGGCTCACTGGCACACATTTTTCAGAAGAATAGAGGATGCCAGCCATGTTGTGCCTGCCCCTTTGGTTAGCTTGTAACTAAGTTGTGGAGGAATAGCGCCTGGGACACGCCACCCTCCTGCTTTGTGGCAGACCTTTGAGAAAGATGACTGCAAGGAGAGGGTTCTGTACTCACATTTAAATGTTTCTGTATAGAAATGGAACACTGGTACAGTTTTTGTCTGTTCTCTTAGGAAAACCACTACAGACTGGTATAGGAGTAAGAGATGGAGTCAAGGAGCAAGTGCCCCCCCCCCAAGACTCATTAGCTGCCCAGGCTGGCCTCCAACTCGAAATCCTTCTCCTCAGCCCCTTAGTGCCATTGCAGACGTGCACCAATGCCCTGCATCCAGATATCTTTTTAAATTGTAACTTCCTGGTCGATAATTACACAACAAAAAGCCACTCAGTTTGCCTAAGACAAGCCCTGAAAACAAAACTTTACCTTGTAATTCAGCTCTTAATGAGAAAAGATGATTCAGGTATTGTGTTGTAGAGAGAAATTTGCCACCAAGAGAAACTGCTAAAAATATCTTTTGGATTTAGGGACATTAAAGGATAGGAAGAATCATATCCTTGACTGTGTCGTGAAAGTTCCTGAGCAGTATTCTGGTACAATTAGCTCTGATATCAATTACAGCATATATATATATATATATATATATATATATATATA